AACTCTAAAATACTTTCCAGGCTTCACATTCTTTGGAGAACAGGGAATAAAACCTAAGACAGGAGCCAGCAAGAACTAGCAAGTGGGACTTGCAAGGAGGTGGCTCATTTGATCAGTCTCCACGCAACAATTTTAATCACCCAGACTAGCCTGGGGACACATGAACAAGTCACAGGGCCTGCTCTGATTGAGCACACATCATCAGTTAACTTCCATAGATCCTTTCTGGAACTATCACACCAAACATCTCTCCTTTCAAACCTATTTGGCCCTGTGTGATAGTCTCATAGATTCTTCATGAGATGTTGGTAATTTTCCAACCCTCAAGCATCAGGGAGGAAAAGGAACCTCAAATCAGAGGTTGGCAGATTCTGGACTAACTATCCACGGCATTAAAGTTTTGCCTTTACACAGAAGTTTAACACCTTTACACAATCAAACATCCTTATTTTACATTGCTCAGTAATTAGGGGAGATCAACCAGCTAGAGTCTGGGTCCCGAACTTGGCCAACGAATGCACCCATCAAATGTTGAGCAGCCTTGCTGAGAACTTCCTCTCCCAGCAGATTAAAAACTCAGTTCTAGCCAACAAGGAGGAAGTGACTGAAGAAGTGAAATTCACAAAGGCCTAGAAGGAAATGCCAAATCACCTTTGATTATGTAATAACCAGGGAGTAGAATAGAGACACCATAGACGTTTCAGGAGAGAATATTTTGTCACAGATTTTAGGAGAGGAGTATTTTTTCGCATCATAAGCACGCAATTCCAAGGTTAGAAAGACTAATGGGATTTCTTTTGACAGTTCTAGAACGAAGTCTTAAAGAAGAATATAAGGACAAAAGAAATCCAGCAACAGAGCTGCCAGCTGCAGGTGAGAAAGTGAACAGGCATAAGGAAGGAACTCAAAGAAGGGAAGAGAGAGAACTAAAAGCCCTGATTTAGAAAGTCCCAGTGCTACCCTGAGAGAAGGAGAAAGAAGCAGACCCACAAGTATGTCATGCAAGGAGCAGAAAGAAGGGAGGGCAACGGAGCAGAGTGTACCCTAATCCTAAAAGGACAGTGTGGCAACGCATAGGGATAGAGTTGCTGAGATATGTGAATCTGCCAAGCCAATGTAATTTAGAATATAATCAGATCATTGAGAAAGGGGTCCACAGATGGGCACTGTGTGGCAGGAGGAGACAAGGGCAATAGATGTTTGTAACAATTAAATGTGAGAATGAAGGATCTGGTTTGGGTTCAACTGACCCATGTTTGAGTTGTGCTTCCAATATTTACTATTTGTTTGTCTTAGGTAAGTTACTTCTCCTGGCCTCAGTTTCCTCATAGGTGAAGTGGGTCAATACTATCTACCTTAAAGATTATTGTGAAGACTAAATAACATAATGAGAAAAAAGTACCTGGCACTTACTAGGTGCTCAATAAAGAAAAGCTTTTTAAAAAAGTATTGTTTTTAAATTTGTATGTAAGAAAAATGGTATAATACAATGTTATAAGACGGGGCCTGCAACCTATGACCTGCAGGGCAAGTCCAGTGTAGCCCATTCGTTTACATCTGGTCTATAACTGCATTTCTGAAACAATGCAAAGTTGAGCAGTTGCACCCGAAACATTTACTATTTGGCCCTTTATAGTAAATGTTTCCAGAACCCTGGGATAAGTGGTACCAGAGCCTTCTCTATTTATAGTTCACTCCCTTATACCCCTTACATGTGAGACAAGACAGAATAGGAAAGCCCTGCTTGTCTACCTTACCCACCCAGGGCCTTTTTCTGATAGATCCAAAGAAAGGACAAGGTTTCATTGGCCTCTAAAAGGTAGAATAATAATTTGGCCAGTAGGGAAAAGCCATTAGAGACTGTATACCTAACCAGACCCAGACACCTGCTCATATATCTAAGCTCTCTTGGTTCTAAATCAGGGAGGAGAATGGAATGTCCCTGGATTCTGCCTGTTCCCTCTCTCAGTATCTGGATCCAAGAAAGGGAACAGGCCCATTGGAGCTGATGCCATAAGACGAAGGGCAGAGGTCTCAAATATTGAAAGTCATATTGCCCAAATAATCCCAGAAGCAGAAAGAAAATTAGAGAAATATCCATAGAGGCAAGTGTGGGTACACAGGACATTGTTTATACTTTCAGATACCAAAGAGACCCACAAAAATGATGGAAGAAAAATGACAGACTCTCAAGTACAATGTTAAGAAGTCGATGCCAAGACTGAGAAGGGGCTAGGGGAAAATGGTGGGGACAGTCATTGCTTAGTTCTGTTCTGTGCAAGAGGATGACCAAGGAAGGAATAGTCCACTGCAGAGAGCAGACATCACTACATGTACACACAATAATATAAGAATTAACCATGATTATTTTGCTTGTCTTCTTGTTCAAAATGGTCAAAGACCATTGGGGTGAGGTCACCCTTGTAACAGGCTAGGAAGCCCAAGATCAGAGACAGTATGGTACCAGGGCACTTGCTGCTTTGAGTAAATGCCAATCTCCTGTCTTGGAGGAATGAGCTGCTGGGTAGAGAGGAACTTGCAACTGAGAAGGGTTTGGGTGACTCAAGAGCTGAAGAATTCCCCAAAACCTGGAGCTTCCCATGGCATCGTGGAATTGCCACCTCCTTGCTTCTGTCCATTTCCTTGGGGCTACATCACCATCTACATCATCGTCACTCTTCTGCTCCCACCCTTAATGCAACTATTTCTGTAGTGAGATATTTTCCGCTCATTGGGGACCGGAAGGAAGTGCTGTGGCCTGAGCAGTCCCCTTAGAAAGACAGACCTTGCACAACTTGCCTGCTTGACATAAGAGGTTTCACTTCCTGAGAGGGACAGGGTGGTGGCAGGTTTGGGGTCCAAGCTACAGGGCCAGGACGAGACGTCGCAGAACTGTAGAGACTGTTATATCAAGGGGCATTAACTCATAGTTCCAAAAGTTCCTTGGAGCAGAAGGAATCAAGGGCTCATGCAACCTGGATACTAGCATCACTTCAACCACTCTGTGACATTGGATGAGTCACTTCACCCCTCCCGGTCTTGGTTTCTCCATCTGCTATTCACATTCAACCAGCTATCCATGTCTTCATCTCTATGGTCCCACTAGATCCCACCAGACAATCATTAGGGCTCCTTTCAGTGGGAAGATTCTGAGGTACTGGAATACTATGATTAGAAAATGGAGAAGTGGAAATAGCTCCAGGTTGCTGACCTATTTCCCAAGCCCCAGAGGAGAATGTATTAACTCAGAGCTGACACTCATGTCCCTTGCATAGCTCCCTTTCTGTCACTGGCTTTCATCCCCCTTTGTGCAGCTTGCAATCCCTCCAGCAGACAGAAGACATCTCTGTGTTCCCTGTCAGGAGAGCCCACAGAGTCATAAGACCACCAGGCCTTGCTGGCTGCAGGATAGACTCTGAGGAGCATGACAGTTCCTACAGTGGGGCTTGGGGCCCAGTAGTTAATTTGCAAAGTGGATCTTACGGAGGCAAAACAGAGGAGTCCCCTAGGCCACCCAAATGGGGCCTCTGCAGGACCAGACACCAAATTTTGTAAAGGCTCAGAGTTGGGTACTGATTGTTGCTTACCAAACTCACAAGAAACTCATGCATTGAACAGCTTTTAGATTGCCTGTGGAAAATGGTAACTTACCAAAGATGGAATTCTTGTGTCCACCTTCCTGGTATCAAGGTACTGGTTGCCAAACTAAGAATCAAAAGGCTTCTTGGTGAGCAAGCCCATGAAGCTGCCCCTGCCCTGCTGCAGAGCCCACTCCCCTCATGCTGAACTCCTCCCTCTCAAACACTCTCACAGGGAGTCCCTCCCCGGGATCATACAGAACAAGCACAGTACCTGGCACGAAGCAGGTGCATGCTTATTTGAATGAAAATGCTGCCAAATTCCCACTCACCCATTCAGGCAGCAAACCCTACTGCCTGAATTTACATGCCAGACACTGTGCTAGACTTGGCTCAGAAAAAGAGTTTGCAGCCTCCTGGGGGAACCAGAAAATTCAGCAAGATTTCAATTCAGTGCTGTAACAAGTGCTCTAATGTGAATGTGCCAGAGGGGCCAGGGAAGGTGTTCCTAGACTCTGTGTACCATTTATAACCTGTTGGCTCCTTCATTCTACAAATGGAGGGCTACCCTGGGGTGGTACCCAGAGCAGGCACTCTGCCAGCCTCTAGGTTAAACAGAATCTGATAACTCTTGGTGTCACCAAAAGATATAGTCTTAGCTGGATATTCTTATAGAAACAATATTCCACTTTTCAGAGTTTACTGAAACATTCTTTTAGGCAGAGAGTATCTCCTCTGCATTTCAAAAAAGGGTTGTGATCATGAACGCTTGACTTATTTACCACCTTTTCAAAGTATGACTTAATTCAGGCTGTTTCACTGGTCATCTAGCATTGATATGGTTTCACCATGAGATTAGCCAGGGCAACAGCTCTGGTCTTATAGGGTTGCACGAGCTTGTCTCTAGAATTCTCCCAGCTCTGTCAGGAGCCTGCACACCTATATGTCACCTGCCCCATCCAAGGGAGGTCAAGTGTTTCCGCAGAGGCTCCTGTAATCAACAAAGAGCTCCTAAGGTAGGAAACAGGGCCCTCACCCCAGACAGGGAGGGCCATCATCACTTCATTATACCTATTTATCCAGGTAGGAAGGTTCCCAAACTTAAGTGCAAGGAGATGAGTGAAGGAATGTGTTTGTGTGTGTAGATCTGTGCATCCTCCACTTTGTCCCAGATAGCCTAAATTTACGCACTCTTCTGACCCAGGAAAATCCAGCATTTTAATATTGACATCAACTGCACAGTGGTTATCAGAAAAACAATGCATATTTGCATGATGACACATTTGCGAAATGTGTCATAGTTTGCTACTCCTGCCCTTCCACGAACTAGAGAATTATTTATCAGCCCCTTCCCTAAAAGTTCCCACCAATCCTCTTTTTTTTTTGACTTGGTTGTGAAATCAGTTCCTTCAAGGGGAAATTTCTCAGCTCTACACTTCTGCTTTTGAAGGGCATAAAACAGCGAGGATGAAACTGGCAAATAGCAAACCTCTTCGAGGCACAAGGCACAACAGGCCACTGTGGGATTCTCTCCAGCCAGTCTTCTTTGCTGAAGTATGACTTTAACTAGCTCTTCCTTACAGCAAGGTCCTAAGGGAGCCTCTCTGTCTCTATTTGCCTCTCTCTCTCTCTCCCCTTCTCTCTCTCTTTTCATGTCTCCCTCCCTCTCTGCCTGAGGGCTGGACTTTTTGCAAAAATGCTAAGCGTAGTAATGCTATGACTTTTTAAATATTCTGGGAGTGAATACTACTTATCTAGCAGCTGACATCTGAAAGATCAGTGTCAAGCTCTCTGCTCCAGGTCTCCTAGCAAATATGCTTCTGGTTTGGGTTTGGTTTAGCAAATGCTTTTTCTCTAGACCCAAAGAACCTCTCTTTCATGCATTCATTCATTCATTCAGAGATCAGTTCTTTGCATGCCTGCCAGGTATTATATGCTATGGGAGACTCACATGTAGAGAAGTAGTCTTCATGGGGGCTGGCACTACAAGGAGTCACTCATTTTCTCCCCTTTACAGGTGTCTGAAGCAGCCATGGCAGCAGTACCTGAACCCGCCAGTGAGATGATGGCTTACTACAGGTCAGTGGAGGGACTATGACCCGCAACGTGGGCAGGGATCCTCTTTCAAGAGTGGAGAGTTATCTGTGCTTACAGACCAGATCTGTCCCCCAAACTGCCTCTTTCAGTGGTAAACAGGCTTCCAAGTAAACCTAGTTTAAAGACTGATTTCCCACTACAAGTCTAGCCATGGGACCCAGAGGCCATCTGGATGCTGTTCTGCAGGGACATCCTGCAGATGGCAAACAGGAAGAAAAGATTCCAGGTGGACAATATATGGAACCCTTTGGCAAAGTTTGGCTTGCAGGAGAGGGAGAGCTCAGGTTTTAGCAGACTCCACTGGGCTGGAGGGTAGGTCTCAGGATCCAACAGGGAGCACCTGTGGTGCCTACCTGCCAAGCTCAGAGTCTGCTTCCATGTATCACCTAGAACTTGCCAGAAGTCTTCAGGCAGATTTGAGTGACATGCTATTTGTAGCTTTCTATTAACAGTGAAGATGTGTATGCAGGGGAGGAAAAATAACCCTGTTTAGGAGACATAATTGAGCCATGTCTCTGTTTTTATTACAGTGGCAATGAGGATGACCTGTTCTTTGAAGTCGATGGTCCCAAACAGATGAAGGTAAGACAATGGGCATAGCTCCCAACCCATGGAAGGGCTCTGACATAGGAAAAGCTCAAAGAAAAGGGTTCTGGGCCACTTTGTCCCTATGGTATTTTGTGATGAAATGGCTTTCACCTCTTCCAGGGAGACAGATATGGTCTGCATCACCTGCTGACCTGGCCTCCAAACCGCCATAGCCATTCACTAATCCTGGTGATGGCGGCCATGCTTGGGTGGGGGTGGGGGTGATAACATTTGCTGTTTCACACTAGGAAGTCAGCTGAATCTTCAACACAAGTTCGATTCTCCCTTTAGGGGATGGGTTCAGCCTAAGCTAATCACTTGAGTTAAACTCTAAAACCAGAGAAGATGACCTTAAGAATTAATATACATCTGTCCCCTTGAGGGTAGGAAGTAGTTTGCTCCCTGGGGTGTAGCTTATGACAAGACATAGATCATGTAAACAAAAAGATGAATTGAGATTTGAAAGAACACTTGCTGTTTGATCTCAAATTATTAGAGTATTAGTGACACAAAAAGACATAAAGCATAAGACGGTATAAGTGTATGGTGTAGGTGGGGCATGTATAAAAAAGATAAACAAGGTAGAAATGGGATTTATTCTAAAAGAATAGAATATAAGGTGTTGGAAAGCCCACATTCTGGTTTGGGGTCTGCCTCTAACTTGCCATGTGCCTTTGGGAAAGACACTTAACCTCTCTGGGCTTCAAAGAGACAAGGATTATGGTCAGGAGCTGGGTTATCTCTGAGGCCCCGTCCTCCTCTCTAATGTCGAAGCGGGAGCTTGCTGGCTGGACCACCTCACCACACTCACCCCCTTGCCTTCTCCACAGTGCTCCTTCCAAGACACGGACCTCTGCCTTTCGGATGGTGGCATCCAGCTACACGTCTCCCACCAGCACTACAACAAGAGTTTCGGGCAAGTCGTGTCGCTCATCGTGGCAGTGGAGAAGCTGAGGAACAAGCCAGTTCTCTGCCCCAAGGCCTTCCAGGAGGATGACCTGAGCACCTTCTTTCCCTTCATCTTTGAAGAAGGTACTTAGCGACAGCTGAGCAGGCGGCAGATCTCTGCTTACATCCTTCTCAGGGGCCAGCAGGCAACGGTCAGCTAAACTGCCCCAGAGCTGAAGCCTTTTAAAGGTAGCAGGCCCAGCAATGAGAAGAAAACAAAGAAGCTTAGAAACCAAATCAATCATCTCTTTAGTTGCAATGATTCTTAAAAGAAGAACTCCATAACTATTGACATTTGCAACTTCCTCACCATTCTCAGGGTGCTTTCACTTACATTGTCCCCTGCAAGCCTCCCAACCTCCCTGTTGGGCTGGTGTTACTGCTACTTCACATGAGTAGCTCTGTTGCTAGTCCACAGTGAGCCAAAGCTTGAACCCACGTCTTACGGTGCCAGACGCAGCACTCTTACCCGCCCCACTCCCAATTTCCTCCCCACCGATGTTGTAATCCGGCCCTGACTGGACATGCTCAAATGTCCTCCAAGAAACCAAATTCTGCTGCCTCACATCACTAGACCTGCCCTTCTGATTTTATGCCTAAATAGTATATGTGCTGCACGTTTCAGAACCCATCATCTTCGACGCATGGGACGACGGCTTTGTGTGTGATGCGCCTGTGCGATCACTGAACTGCACACTCCAGGACGCACAACAAAAATGCCTCGTGATGTCTGGCCCATATCAGCTGAAAGCCCTCCACCTCCAGGGACAAGATCTGAGCCAACAAGGTAATTGGAGACATCTTGGTTTCCCTTTCTGGCCTCCTGGCAGATTGCTAATTCTCCATGTTTTGAGCAAAGTAGAACATTAAGGCAAATGATCGACCTAAGAGAAAAGAAACATACAAAAAATATATATACGCTTTTGTTTTGGTCCTAACAATGACACCAGTTAGATTGTGTGGATATGTGCTTTTTTTGGCAAGAGGTACGAGTCCGAGAAATTAGACGGCTCAGGCACTGTCAGGACCGTATCCAGCTGAGTCACTTAGGCATAGTGCAATGTCAATGCTTCCGGGATACGCAGCCATTTGATGGGCATGCCCTAACTGCCTGTGGGTTCTGTTGAGGTGGAAACTACAGTGGCAAAGTGATAATGTGTCCGTCCCTGGACTCAGCCCTGCCCACTTTCCCCAACATCCTTCCCCCCAATTCCAGATGGTGTCTTGTGGGAAATTTTACTGACCAGGAGGAGCTTATATCTTTCTGCTGTAACTGGCAGATGTTTCCAGTGTGGTGAACTCATCATTAGCTGTGGGGATGTGCCTGGCACTGTGCCACTGCGGCTGAAGCCCATGTGCAGGGTGTGGGTGGGCAAGGGAGCAGCAACATTGGAGGGCGGCATCACTGGGGAAAGCTTCCTGCTCTCAGCCAGGCCAAGAGAATCCTGTCTCTTTAGAACTGGGCAGCGACAGTGGCCCCAGAGTCTCCAATTGAGACCGCTGTGACTAAGGAAGATCAAAACTGAGTGTCTCTCTTTGGAGCCACTTTTCCCAACCAAGCCTCTCCTCTCCCAGTTTTTCCCACCGGCTGCTCCATGTTCCTAAACAGCTGTGGTGCCTGCTTTCTTGCAGAAGCTCAGCTCACCTCTTCCCTTGCTTTCCACATTGATCAAATTGTTCCGCTCATGCAGATGGGCACACTGCCAGCCACCGACACGACACGGTGGCTTCCTTCAGCATTTAAAATGTAGGCCCTCCTCTATTCTTCATGGCCACTGCTATGAGGACCTGAGAAATGCTTGGACCTTTTCTGGGGAAACCCTGAATCAATAAATTGACCCTACTATTGTCCGTGAGGAGCCAAGTTATCCCATCTGTCAGGCCAAAGGAACCTCGCTGTGGGTTCCCACAGAGGATGCTAAATTGTACGGGTCCTGCCCATGGGGTCCAGGGGTTGGGCTGGCTCTGCACTGCCGTGTCCCTAACCACAGACTCCTCTCCTTTCTTTAGTGGTGTTCTCCATGAGTTTTGTGCAAGGAGAAGAAAATAGTGACAAAATACCTGTGGCCTTGGGCCTAAAGGAAAAGAATCTGTACCTGTCCTGTGTGATGAAGGATGATAGGCCCACCCTGCAGCTGGAGGTGAGTGTCAGGGACTGAAGCTCTTCGCAGCCTCCTGCTATCATTTCTCCCTGCCCCCACTCCACCCCTGAAAATCTGGGAGCAGGTCTACTTGACAATGTTGCATCAATGTAAACAAATTTAACATAAGTTTTAAATGTACGCAACCTTCACTCCCACTATAGAAAATTAAATCATTTTGCTGATGTTATTATGTCCTGCCCTTGTTACCACCCCAACAGATTATGCATTGTTAGAGTTGCTCTCGTTTGATAGATGACACTTTGAGGAACTAATCAATTGATGAGACTTATCATCATTGCCACTACACTACCCAAATTGCCCCCTCCCACCACCACCAACTCTAGCTTTCCCAGCAAAAGCTTCATTTCCAAGTTAATGTCATTCTAGCCAGGCCATAAGGAAGAATACAGCAGAAGCCCCTGGAAACTAGGTACTCCAAGAAGTTCTAGCCTCATTTTCACTTTTTAAAAATTCTCACCTACATTATGCTCCAAGCATTTGGAACTAAGTTTCAGAAAAGAAGAAGGACTCTTTCGGGAACCACACAGAAAGGCAGGTCCCAGAGATAACTCAGGAGTGTGGTTCCTATCCTGTAGCCTACTCAGCCACTTCCTCTCCAGCCAACCCAGAGAATGTCCTCACAGTAGTGTCTTTGCCCCTTCCCTCACAAAAAGTCTTATCTCTCTTTTGCTGCAGAGTGTGGACCCCAAAAGTTACCCAAAGAGGAAGATGGAAAAGCGATTTGTCTTCAACAAGATAGAAATCAAAAACAAGCTGGAATTTGAGTCTGCCCAGTTCCCCAACTGGTACATCAGCACCTCTCAGGCGCAAAACATGCCCATCTTCCTGGGAAACACCAAAGGCGGCCAGGGTATAATTGACTTCACCGTGAACTTCTTGTCTTCCTAAAGGGAGCTGCAGCCAGATGGTCCGCGTGTGCTGAATGTAGGCTGATGGAAAGGGACGGGAAGGGTTTTGAGTGGGCTGCAGGCTGGGCTTTGCCATTGTCTACGCCACTGCCCAGCTGCCTTCCCTGGGGAAGTAATAAGGACATCTCCTGCCCACCTGCCTGGACAATCAGCTCTCTCTTCCCAGGGCCAATCCTTACCTCTCCAACCCACTCCAAGCCAGCCTGACAGAAACCATGGCACACGTGGTTCAAAGAAACCCTCTGTCCTTTGTTCCTTGCTTCTGAGGAGCAACCACTTAACTATTTATTTATTTATTTATTTGTTTGATTGGTCTGTTCAACTTAATTTAAGAGGATCCAAGATGTAGCAATGTCTGTGAAAGAGCCCAGTTTTTAATATCTATGGAGTCAATTTAATTTGGATTGGTGTGCTACCTTTAAATGTAGTCCTTTTGCTAAGACTGAAAATATATAAGCTCACATTATTTAAATGGAAATATTTATAAATGAGGAAGTATGTTCACACTGTTTCAATGGTTCTGAAATAAAGTTCACAGAAAAAAAAATTTGTCTATGCTGATGATTGGCTCGTCTTGGATTTAATACCAAAAGATAAAGATAAAAGGGGTTGTGAGTGTGCTTTTCGGGAGGCCAAAGCCTACTCCGCATTGCTGCATGCTGCAAAATACCAAGAAATATCCCTGACCACCAAAGACAAGCCTCCCGACCCACCCTCTTTATTTCTGTTTTTCAACAAAAGGATATTCAGTGCACATCTGGAAAACAGGACCAGCTGAAGCATTATATGGAGTAAGGTGGTGGCAACACCTGCCAGTGATTTCTCTATCCATGTATTTAACAAACATCTATCGAGCAAATGCTCTGAACTCAGGGATGGTGTACAGAGACAGAAAAGCTAAGAAGTTTCTGGTTAGGTAGGAGAGGAAGATATATGTGCAAGCAAAAATAAGGCAGCACGACAAGAGTGAAATATACACCAAGGAGTGGCCAGGAAGGAGGGAGGAGATCTGCTGAGAAGGACGGAGAGACAAGGAGAGTGACATATGAATAAGGCCTAAAGGGATGAGCAGAAGCTTTCCAGATAGAAAAGAAAAAAAAAGGCACTCCAGATAGAGGGACCAGCATGAACAAAGGCATGGGGGTGTAAGAATGAATGATGCAAAAAGTGAACTTTCAGGATTGCTGAAGTCACCAGAAGCAAAGTCAAAACACAAAATAGACCAGGGCAAAAATATTTACTCATATCCCAGATAAAGGGATCATTTGTTCAACATATGAAAAGCTCTCTGAAAACATTAGAAAAAACAAGAACAAAAGTCCAACAAACAATAAGCAAGGGATATTAACAAGCTGATCACAGGAAAGAGAATACTACTAGATCTTGGACAGAGCAAAAAGATGCTCGACATCATTGGTAATAAGAAAGTCAAATTAACAGCACTTTGAGGTACCAATATTCTCCTATCAGATTGACAAAGATCAAAAGTTTAACACACACCCTGTTGGTGAACTGTGGGGAAACCCTCACTGATAGACATTACACATGGAAATATAAATTGGCATGACCTCTATAGAGGAAAATTTAATAATAACTCTGAAAATCACAAGTGCACTTCCCCTTTGGCCCAGAAATTTCACTTCTGGGGATTTATCCTACAGATGGACATAACCTATGTAAAATGACAAATGATCAAAATTATTCATGACATCATTTGTAATAGGAAAAGTTGTGCATAAGCCAAGTGTCTATCACCAGGAGACTGGCTACATGAATTATGGGACATGGAATACTATGTAGCTATAAAAAAGAAAGAGAAAGCACTCTCTGCACCACTATGGAGTTCTCTCCAAAATAGTTGATAACTGAAAAAGAGCAAGATGCAAACCATGTCTATGGTGTGCTAACTTTTGTACAACAAAGGGAAGAGGGGAAAAGGCAATGCATTCCACTGTGCTTGTATGTGATTTGAAAAATTCTGGAAGATACATAAGAAATGAATAAAGTAGTTGTGGGAGGCTGGGGAATAAGATATATGGGGATGGGGTGGGAGCAAGACATTTCTACATATACTTTTTATATAGTTTGATTTTTGAATCATGTAAATACTACTCAGAAATACTATTTAAAAAATAATAATTTTTAAAAACCTTATCCAAAAAAACAAAAGTATACGACTTATTATGGAAAAAACAACTGCTGAAATGTGCCAGTCCTCAGCAGCTCACTCTCAATACCCTCTTCTCCTCCTTCTTTGCAGCTCTCCGAGCCAGGGCAGAGGATAGCAGAGCCCCTCTCTGAGCTCCGTCTGCCTCATAACTGCAGTGCAAAGGGTGGCATGGCTGTTAGGAGCAGGCACCCAAGTGGCACCTGTTCTGCAAGACAGAATGGAGCTGGTGGCAGGCAGGCAGCTAGTCTGGGAAGAAAGCAGAAGTGCCTGTGAGCCCCAGCTGTGATACGGCCCCCTTTCCTCGACTGAGTGATACAATTCCACCCACGCATCTCAGGTCCAAAAGGAAAGACACGTCAGGAAGAATGACAAACTGTGAAGGCATCTCACTTCATAAGGAAGCCAGATTCCAATCATCTATGTATGAGTAAATGGGTACAGCTATTTTAGGGAGAAAATTGGCAGTGTCTACTTTTAAATAAAAAAAAATACTCTGTGGCTCAGAAATTCCACTATTTGCTATCTTCCCTAAAGAAATAAATTCAAGAATGTCTACTAATGCGTTGTTTATAAATATTTAACAAATCAGCTGGAAATTACCTAAATATCCATTGGTAGGGGAAAGGTTAAATAAACTGTGGTAAGTTAAAAAGAAAGGAGATGGTCCTGAAATAGAAAGACATCTAGGCGAATCATTGTGAGAAAAAGGCGATTTGCAGAACAACAAGCACAAAGTGGTAGCATTTAAATATTAAATATTAAAAGAAAATATTCTGCACGTTCTAATGGTATGTAAAGGCAGCCAGCTCCAGAAAGGTACTGACCTGGCTGAAAATAGTGGCTACTTAGAGAGGGGTAGGGCAGGAGAGGGAGTCATCAGGAGAACTTTAGCTTTATTTATAACATTTGAATTTTTTACAAGAGGAATATATTTGTGAATTACTTATATAATTTTTTTTAATCCTCTGCATTAAAATGTTTAAAAGGCTTGGGTTCCAATTCCTGGATCTGAACCAAAGACTAAAATTGACCCTATAGAGGCTATTCTATTCCTGATTTGGAGCCAAGTTCTCTTCCTGATAATAGTTCTCCCTTTCTCTGTACTACCTGTGCTTGGCCTGAAAGAAAAAAATGATCTGCCACTAAATGGAAAGGGTCAGATGTTTTGAGTGGAGAAAGCCAAGAATCCTCCCTGGATCTGATCAAGTTCATAAATACAATTGGAAGAAGGTAGTCTTTCTGATGGGCTGGAAAGTCAACTAGTCTGCACCCCCAGTAGGTAACACACCACACCTCCACAGCTCTCTCTTTTTTTTTTTTTGAGACAGAGTCTCACTCTGTTGCCTCGACTAGAGTGCCGTGGCATCAACCTAGCTCACAGCAACCTCAAACTCCTGGGCTCAAGTGATCCTCCTGCCTCAGCCTCCTGAGTAGCTGGGACTACAGGTGCGCACCACCACGCCCGGTTAATTTTTTCTATTTTTAGTAGAGACGGGTCTCGCTCTTGCTCAGGCTGGTCTTGGACTCCTGACCTCAAGTGATCCTCCTGCCTCGGCCTTCCAGAGTGCTAGGATTACAGGCGTGAGCCACCATGCCTGGCCACACCTCCACAGCTTTTAAGGAGAGCCCGGGGTACCTTGAGAGCAGAAGGCAAATGCTTGTGAACTTGACTTGATGTCTTAGATTCTGTGACAGGCCAGCCACACAGCAGGCTATGGTTTATCCTATAGGTTTAGGCTGGAGGCAGCAAGTGTCTGGTTGGAGGAGGATACAGGATGCAATGATGTGTGAGATAGACCATTTCTGATCTGCAAGACAGACTGGGGGGTGAGTGGCTGCTGTAAATACCCTGGTCAAAGGTGGGGGTAAGTCCACACATCTTCTGCATAGACCTCCTCCCCACGCCACTCCTCATCCCCCATACAGCCTTGCTGAGCCACCCACAAACATCTGGTTCAACTGGAAGCTGGAGTGAGGGTAACCTGGACTGGTGTCCAGGGTGAAGGACCACAGTCAGGGCCTCCTCCCAGTTCTTAGCACATCTCACCCATATCTTTGGACCTCAATTAACAGTATAGAAGCAAGCCAAGTAATAAGGTTTTTTCCCCCCTGGAAAGTCCAGAAGTACTGCTTTTCTTATTTGTATAAGCATGATTATTTGCTTACATAAATAATCATGAAAATCAAACCCCTCTGATACCTCTTTGGGACAACAAAAATAATTGTTCAATAAAAATCTAGTTTACTATATTTTTATATTTTTATGTGAGCACAGGATATTACATTTTTTAATTCTTCTACATTGAGTTATCATTATTAGTGCACAATTGATCAAAATAACATAACAATATTACAAATGTTGATTTTTATTAGCAATATATCTTAAGGAGATAGACCTTTTAAAAATTATTTCATAAATTTATATATTACTCCTAATTAGAATGAGAATTCAACATTGGTTTTATTTTTATGCTGGCTTTTTAAACACAAGCGCTGAGAAAGCTTGTATAAGTAATAAGTAGATGGAAATGAAAGGGATTGGATCAGAGTATTGTCACTCAGTTCTTTAAAATCCTTCCGAATTACTTGCCAAAAATCACATAGTCACCTACCATCAAAAATTATTTTTAATGATTTAAAAGACCACCTGTTCAAGTCTTCTTTCAGTTGTGCTGAAAGTAAAGAAATGACAACCACCAGAACAAGAAGAAGTTGTTAGAGTCCTTTACTGGACAGTCAACACTTATATTTCCCCTTTGTTTCCTGACCCAGGGGTTGTGATATCTCAGGGCAATTTAACTTCCTAAGATTAGGGATGTGGGAAGCCTACTGTTCTGACCTTTTGGAGACTAGGAGAAGGGCAAGCAGATGATGAAACACCAAGGCCACTCTGGCCTTCCTTCCACTGCTCATGCGGCTGCCTGCCCTGGGGGTGTGTTCACCGGATCAGATGAATGCCAAGAGTGACCACAGCTGATGTCAGGACTGTGACCGAAGTCATGCCACCTAATCTCCCTCTGTTTCCCGGGTATGGGGAAGAGAACTGGAGTGGAAGGCCTGGGCCCATCTTACCTCTGACCTCATTTCCTCCTCTGCAATAACGAGGGGGTGGGGGTAAGCCCTGGTCATCAGCTCCAACATTCCGTGGTTCAGTTCCTCCTCAGGGATGGAAAATAACCAAACAGGAGAACAGGAGAGAAGAACTGGGTGGGTACAACGAGAGGTACTATTCAGGTGAGGCAGCCAGGGGAGCCGCCTCTGAGAAGGTGGCTTGAGCAGAGGCCCGGATGTAGGGAGGGTGCCAATCGCGCAAAGATCTGGGACAGTGGC